CCACTGACATCGATTAGCCGCCATTTCTTGCAACGTCTCCAGCCAAGCACAGACGGGGTCACGGGGACCCCATCCTGGAAGTCGCACAACACCAACAACACCCAAACTCTTCGTGATCTCTTCCAGTTCTTCCTGCCAAGTCATGTGCTGTCCACCTCGCGGTTTGCGCCATCTTGAAGAAGGCACGGACAACAACACTCGCCTCGGTAGACGGTGCTCCGGCATGCGTAGCACATGACCAAGCCATCGTAGTCGGTGGTGCTGGATGTTTTCCCCGGTTGAAGTACCTGCAGCACAACCAAATACCCATTTTCTAATCACCTCGTTACTAACATGCTGGGGCCATCTAAAACCAGCCAGGCTTCCGAGGCATCGGTGGTCGAAAACCTGAAGACGTCTCACATCATCTGCTCTGAGAGACCGTCTCGCACCCGTACAACAAAACAGTCCTTACTGTAGCCTGGTACATACAACCCATAAGATCCAGTGAGATGCCTTTTTGACGCCACGAGTGACGCAAATTAGCAAGCGTTATTCGAGCCTTTGAGATTCTTGCCGAGGTATGTAAAGTTATCTACAATCTCCAATGGTTTTCCTTGGATTGTAAGGGATATGTTCTGAAGCATGACTTTGCACTTTGAAGGAGCAAAATATGGTAAAATGGTAGTCAGTCTACTCAACAGAGCTTGTGCTTCGCTTCGGTCTTGAAAGATGAGGGCGATGTCATATGCGTACTCCAGATCAACAAGACTCTCACCAGCAACAACTTGAACACCGGAGTTTAGAAGACCGTCCAGCGTTTGCCTCATTATTTCATCAATGATGAAGTTAAACAAGAATGAAGAGAGTGGACATCCTTGTTTGACACTAACTTTTGTAGAGCTCACCATAAAAAAATCGCCCAGCTGTAACACCCTTCCAGTACCTAGCTGCCATGCCACCCGAAGGAAGCACGAGGGCTGAGATACTGGCAGGTTGCTCAAGCTTAAACAGGGGAATTCGAGAGGCAGAGGTCGGGTTCAAACCACGGCCCTTCCGATCAGTGAATTGGCGCTCTAACCCCTTGAGCCATCTCGTCATCATACACTCTCACCCACCCAAAAGTATGTGAATATGGATCGGATTGTGTTCAAAAACTTCCGGGGCATGCCCTATTAAACAAGTATAGTTAACAGTACTGACCGATCGACAGAATCGAACGCACCATTGAAGCCGAATAATACCAAGACTGTGGGTCGTCTGTACATGTGGGCTTGCTCTAACGCAAGACGGAATGTGAAGATGCGGTCGACGCAGCCTCTGTTCAGCGAAAACCCTGATTGATTCATACGAGTCAAGGTTTCGTGTGCCACTGTATGACGACGAATGATAGGTCACGGCAGAAGCCTTCTCACAACAAGTATCAAACTAACACCTCTCTGGTCAGTACATTCACTGCGAGTACCATTGTTGAAAATGAGCACCACTATCGATTCACCCCAGGTGTATGGGACGGTCTTTTTCTCCCAGATGGACCCAAATAGGCTAGATAAGCACTGGTTGAAGAGCTTACCGCCATCCTTGAAAAGGGCAAGGTCTTCAGGACCAGCATCACGATGACGCTTGAGTAGAAGAATACACTCCAACACTTCTGAAACTGAAGGCGACTCCATAATCACGGTTCACCATTCTGTTGAATGCCATGATTGTGTTTGAATACTGTGTACAGCGGTCCAAAATTTCCGCGTTGCTGCATATCAGGGAGCCATTTTGATCTCTGATCATTTCCATGACAAGAGGTTTCCGAGGACCACTCGAACGAATCATGTGGAACAGCTTGCGGACGTTTCCAACATTCTTTACATCTTCCATTTCTTCAGCCTTTAAAGTCCACCAAGCCCCTCTGTCTGCACGGGCACTCGGATTCACCTGGCATTGGATGACACGTCGGGTAGAGTTATGGTGGCGAGCTTGCGGACCCAACATTCTTTACATCTTCCATTTCTTCAGCCTTTAAAGTCCACCAAGCCCCTCTGTCT